AATTACATCAAATGGGACAGTGATTAGATTTCTTTCCTTCTTTCCTTTGGCTGCTGCTGGGAGTGGAACTGATTTGGGGTAAGGGAGGAGGGAGGAACAGGAGTAGAACAATAGTCATCTCTTGAAAATAGAGATTTCAGCGTGTGATTAATCTTGTAAAGTGACTTAGTTTGGGATTCCCAGAAGCAGATTCTGAGATGAAGATTCTTGAATGAGTGATTTATTATTGAAGTCTTCCCTAGAAAAATTAGGAAGGGAAGCAGGACTGGTAAGAAGAAAAGAAGAAAAGCAAGGCTGCAATATCAAGTAAAGTCTTTTAAGGGTAGCAAACATCCCAAAGAAAGTCTTAGGTAAGAGTTTTTGGAGGCAAAACATGACTCAATTGGGAGAGGGCTGCTCAAAAAGGATTTTTTTAAAATCTTAGAGGATTTGGGCAAAGCAGTGACTGTGTCTATTACACAATGTTTCAGAAAGATTTCTTTGTGGGGCACGTCAAAGTTAAAAAAAAAAAAGATAGATTCCTGGATAAGCTGGTTCTAAATGAAGAGATTATCTTCAATGACTGAGATCTAAGTGCTACTGCATTAAGCTTTGGAGTTAAAACAAAAAATTAGAACTGGAGCTTGAAGATGATGCAACTTATGGCTGTGTAGGGACTGAAAAAGCTAAGGTCTGAATGAGAAAGCTGCATTTTTTTATTAAAAGAGATGAAAGAAATGAGAGAATTACACTAATTATTAGAAAACTGTGCATAAGTAAATTACATTGACAGATTAATTGAGATTGAAAGGCTTAGAAGATAATCTAAATTAATGGAGGGTTAAAATAAGGATGGATCTTTTTCTGAATTGAATGTTTTACATGTTTTATTTGTATGAACCACAAATTAAAATATTACCAACATTATTTAACTGCCCAGGAAAGTCAATACTACATCTAGGTGATGTAAGTGTTCTCAGAGAGGTTTCATTTTAAAGAATGACACTTGAGAGTGCCTAGACAGGCTCTGTGGAAAAAGTGGAAGAGAAAACCATGTGATATTTTTTGCCAAGTAGATGTGTAGGTCATGCACAGGGATCCAGACACCTGGTTCAGATCCCTGTGCATGAGTTTGTTAACACTAGGCCACTGAAGTCAAAACAACCAATGCAAATGGCAGGCTAGCTATATTTTTTTCAGTGTCATATACACAAAGAAGCACTATGGATTCTGGGAGAAACAGTCTCGAAAGCATCTCAAGACAGCATCTCCAATACAAGCATCAGGATCACATATGTCTATTTAATGTAAAATAATGTTAGGGGGATAACAGTAGCAGATGAAGTGGATGATGTGTCTTGACTTATTTTGTACAAAAAATATTTAAAAATTCATCTTAGACTGGCCATATATTGTCAATCTCTCTAAATTACCCTGTGCTATGTGATTGAGTAATGCTGGCAAATATCTGTAATTTAAGTGTTTTATTCCAATTTTGACATGATTTTTATGCTAAACAGCTTTTGGGTAAGAAGCGTTTTAAAACTATTTATCATATGAACTCAATTTTGCTTTTGGAATACATCATCTCATTAATTAACAGGTTGAAGTCTCATTACTTCATGTCTGTCTTCACTGGATTATGTAAACAGCAACCCTGTCATTACCAAATCATATGCTATTTTTATTTTTCTAAAGATCTAGAGCTCACAGTCATTATTTAAATAGAACATTACAGAAAAGAAAAAGCAATTTGGAGCAGCCTATTCTTAGCTATGTATTGAATAGATCTATTTTGCTAATAGTATCTGTTTCAATTTATTTTTCTAGGTTTTGGTTATAGTTCAGTAACATTCAAGAGAAAGTATTATTTGGTAGCTAATGCCATGTAGAAGACCCATTCCTTACATTGCCTTATCAGCAAAGAAAAACAGCTGCTTCCCTTAGAAATTCATTATAAATTCAAATGACAGATAACATAGGCTGTTTTTAACAGGCATATAACTTTTAGCCTCTGATCATTAGCTTTAGTAATCATTAGCTTAGTTAATGAAAAATATTTATAATATTGAAAATATGAGAAGCTAAACTATGAGCAATAACAAATGAAAACCACGTGTTCTTCTGAATTACTGATTCCCCCTCCAAATAGTTTCAAATCACTATAGTATTCATGTAGCCCTTTAATGATTTTTATGGATAAACAGTGAATTCCATGTTTAATGTTAAATAACAGAAATTTAGAGTTTTAATTGCAATGTCCTATGTAAGCTTTAAAAGATTCCAGAGCAATTTTCATAAACAAGATTCCATTTTTCACAGCCAAAATACTATACTGACACTGACTCTCATGTACTTATACCTATGCATTTGTGTGTCATTTACTTTTAATTACAAAATTTCTCCCTTTGATTAAATTTATTGTATACCTTGTAATATATCAAAATGATAGATTAAATGTAGAAATAAATTATTACTTACTTATAATAAAATTGAAGCTTGTCCTTGGAATCATTTTCTTGTAGTTCCATCTAGCTAAAATAGGACTTTGATCTCAACCCTGCGCCGATGAGATGTGTGATGAGATCTTAAGCGAGTTACTCAACCTAAGCCTCAGTTTCCCCATCTGCAAATTAGGGAAAATAACATATGCTTTAGGTCATTATTGTGATAATTAAATGAAATGATATATACAAATTGTCAAATAGGGCACAGAATACTCAGTACTTTATCATTGTTTAGTGTTGTTATTTTGCGTCTACAGTGTTTTTGGAAAATAGCATGATTAATCAATTGACTGGAAGAAACACAGTCTAACAGACAATATATAGACCATTTATATTGGCCATGTAAGGGTCCATAATGGCTGACTTCACCTTTAATGCGTAAAATCTGGTGACTCCCAAGGTTTTTAAGATATGGCTTAAAGTAGATATCATTTTTCTTTACATTGGTCAACTATAATTTGTCCATAGATTGCACATGTAGTAAGTAGTATTTTGAGATGTTAACTGTTGGGTTTTTTCCTTCCCTCTGCTTCCTTGCATTTGTTACCTGTTACTGATCATTTAGGTAACAGTGCCTAGCAGGTCTGGATCAGGACAGATACTACTGAGAATTCAGAAGTCATTTGTTTGCTTTGAGTTTCATATTAGGCTTTTTTTTTTTTAAGCCCACAGTAGAAACAGTATTCTTGAAATCATAGCTTTCCTTTGCAGAAGACTCATTATTTTGAGAGTTGAAATTTTGCTGAGCTATTAAAAGCACTGAGAATCTTGAAAGACTCCATTTATACTGAAATCAAGGAGTGGGGAAGAATGCAGGGATAGAATAGCAGGTCCCAAAGAGATAAAATTTGACCAGCATAGAGACAGAAAATGAAATAGGGCTGGAAGAGGTCTTGTGATTGGACAATGAAGCTGGCTGTATTGACTAAACAGTTGCAGATACAGCCAGACTCACCATGATCCTCAACACCAGGAAAAATGTATTACATTTCCGCACAGGCCAGTGAGATTAGAAAATGACATCTGGAGCAGAGCCATGTCCCTGATGACACAAGTCCCCCAGGAACTTAGAACATTTCCATGGAGGAAAAAAAAAAAAAAAAAAAAAAAAGAGAAAGAGGAGAATTTTGAACTATTTACCCCAAAGAGACTGAGTTAACCAGAAGCATGTGTGTGAATACCACTAAGCAAAAGAGCTCATATTCTAAGCTAAGTTCAATTATACAGAACTAAAATTAAAAGCAACTTCAATTTTCTAATTTTAGAGCTTATGATTGTGTTAAAATATCATATCCACTAAATCATCAAGCTTTGGATACTTTGAATTTTAGTTCTTAATTAATCTGAAAGCCTCTATTATCTGAAATAATTTTTAAGATTAGAAAAAGAAAAAACGTTTTTCAAATAATTTTTGACTGTCATAAAATGTAAAATAGGTACATGTATTATCAATATTTTAGAAAACTACATTAAAACTTACTTTTACAAATAGAGCACATTATCTTAAGCAGATAATACCTATTTTCTTCATATCTGAATTTAAAAACTTTCAAATCTATAACTCAAAATTTTATCATTTACAAATATTTTGAATCCCAGTATAAACTTAAAAACAGTTTAGAAAACTAGAATCTAAGTGATAACTAAACTTAGGAAGTATAGTAACTTTTTAATATGCAAGTTACATTAAAATCTATTTATATAATCAGCATTTGATTCAGGCTTGTCTTTAGCCGAGCGTAGTGTGTACTCCCCACAATCCGTAGGTTTCGCCATTTTTACTGTAGCTGTGTTTCTGAGTCATGGACCAAAGCTGATTGTGTTACAGGATAAGCTGTTTGAAGTGTTAGCCATAGTAAGCCATGCTAAGCCATAATAAAACTATTACAGTTAGACATAATAAGATTATTATATCAGGTTTTATATCAGCTCCACTTACTGAATTTTAGGCATATAGAAAGGCAACGAGATAATGGATTAAAAAAATTTTTTTGATGCTGTCTGTTTGAAATTATTTAACCTTACAAATGAATATTTTAAAACCATATCTTCATATTTGCTTTTGTTTCTAAGCATTTGACTCAATAGACCCATTAAAGGGAACACTTTTACCTTGAAAGGGACAAGTTAACATTTGATTTATCAACATTTTGCCTTTCACTGAGAAAAAATGTTGGTATGTACCGATTAATACTCTTAAGAGTTACATGATATTATAACTTTAGTCACAGAATACGAATAATTTATACACAGAAAAGTGACCAAAATATTTTATTCGTTGTATCACTCTAAAATATGTTATTTAATAACAAAGCAAAATGATCATTACCTTCTAGATAAAAGAGAAAATGGAAAATATATTTGAAGCATTGAACATACAAAAACATTATTATAAATATCAATATTTATGGGCTACTGTAAAGGCAATTGTAAAAAAACAAGTTCTAATAAAAAGTTTGAAACAGACATTTTCAAATATCTTAATAATATAAGTCATTGAAAAAAAATCAAATGTTTTTTCCCTTCTAAATTTTTACTTCATAGGGTAGTGAATGCAACATAGTTATAAACAGATATTCATGAGTATTTTTACATTTTTACATTTTACACACTCAAAATAGTCATAGACACTCTTGCACTATTCTCCTCTAGGCATTCCTATTGTCTGTCAACTGCTATCAAGTGTAGGGTTAGAAGGCATTTTAACAAATGGATGACTGATTTAAAAGACAATAACAACAACAACCAAAGACATCTGTCATTAAGACAGGCCACTGATAGTGGATGCTTGTTATTAGGAATCCAAAAGATTTTCTCAATGTTCTGTCCCATAATTTTTGTTGTCATCGTCTGTGTTCCATACTGCCCTATGGCAATATTGTTCCTGTGTTCCAATACATTTTCTTAATTCAGCTGCAGTTTTTTCCAGTTGTTGAATGTTCCATTGCCACTGTCGTCTATTTGACTGAAGCTTGTTCACCTGACAATGCAAACGCTTAAGAATTGCATCATATCTCTTATGTTGTACCTATTAAAAGAACAGCACACATCAACAGGGCTTGTGAAGTATAAATAGTAAACAGCCATAAAGAATATTTTGACTCCTCTAAAGAGGAAAGCACTTAATTAGAAACTATACACTATAAATAATCATGATAAACAGTAATTGTGTAACTATTCAACACTTATTACATGTTAGATACTGTGTTGAGAGCTTTCCACATATAATTAAATTCTTATAACACCTTATGATATGTCTATTATTATCCTCATTTTTGTGTGAAGAAACCAAAGATAAAAAGAGTTTAAGTAATTTGGCTAAAGTTTCATAACTAGCAAGTGACCGAGCTTGGGAGTTGAACCAAAGCAAAGTATCCATAATGGAATACCTTCTTGTTAACAGAGTTATTATTTTTTAAACTAAATTTGCACTGGGGGACTCTACTTTGAGTCCCTATGTAAGGAACTACAACCTAACAGGATTTAAACTAACTGAAAGCCTAATTACAAGCATATTTTTGTAACAATAGCTGAGACTCGGTTGACCATAGCAGCCAGCCACAGGTGGTCCACTAACCACACCATATTCAAATAAACAAACATTGAGCTGTAACCAATCACGTGCTTTCTGTACTTTATTTCCATTTTCTGTCCATAAAAGTTCCCTGCCCACATCGTGAAGTAGAGCTCTCTGAACCTCTGCTGGCTCTGAGGGCTACTGATTCTCCAATCATTCTTCTGTTAAGTTCTGTTAAATTTTATTAAACTTAAATTTGAAGTTTTAAATTTATCAAATTTAATTTGTGTAAAGTTTTTCTTTTAACATAAGAGAAATGGTTTCATTTCCCATTTCCTGTATCCAGTGATTCACTGAAACACAGACCATTCGGTCTAAAGGATCCAGATCATTTAGTCCATTTCCTTACTATTAAATAAACCATCATTTACGCCGAGCCAGACAAAGATACACTGTAAGGCAATGAAGCACAGTGGAAAGTGCAAGGGTGTTGCACCACAAGAGCACCCAATCTTTTTAAAAAACAGCTTTATAGAAATATAATTCACATACTATATAATCCATCCTTTAAAGTGTACAACTCAATGGTTTTTAGTATTCACAGAATTGTACAACTATTACCAACCACAGGTTCTTAGGCTCTCATGTAATAGAAATTGACAAGAGGCTGAGCAAGTTTCCCAAACAAGGCTTTTTATTGGGACTTATGTTTGAACACAATGGAGACAGTGCAGGAGCAAGAGTTATCTGGCTGGCTTTCTGAGAGCAGGTCTTTGTGGTGTTTTTAGGAAAGGTGACAGGACTGTGCATGAAGTATGGGAGTGTCATTACATGTACAGGGTGGAGCACAGGGTGTGCAGGCACAATGAGAAATCATGCTAGTGCATACATTGCATTATCAAAATATGATGGATAAGCTCTTCCCTGGGTGAGGATTTTAGTATTACAATGAGGCATGGGGTAAAGATCAGACATTCTTCTGGTCTTGTCCACATGCCTGTGGTAGGGTTAACTCCCTTGAGTAAGATTTACAGTGAGATGCTGCTTATCTTCATTTCAAGAAATATCTTGTGTCATCAGAGATGACCCCAATGGAGGGGGTAGTGCAAGGTCTGGTAGGTAATGGGCAGGTATGGAAAAAAATTTGTTAGTGGGGGTGGAGGCCAAATCATGGTTAGGGCTAAATTTCTTCCCTATTCCATTTCACAAATATCACCATAATCAATTTTAAAACATTTTCATCACCTAGTACCCATTAGCAGTCATTCCCCATTCTCCTTCCCCGACTCTTAACCCTCGGCAACTATAAATCTACCTTCTCTCTATACATATTTGCCTATTCTGGACATTTTATATAAATGGAATTGTATACTAGGTGGTCTTTTGTGACTGGCTTCTTTCACTTAGCATAATGTTTTTAAAGGGTCATCTATGGCATAGCATGTAACAGAACTTAATTAATTTGTATTGCCAAATAACAGTACATTGTATGATATACCACATTTTATTTATCCAGTTCATGATTTGATGAACATTTGAGTTGATTCCACTTTCCAGCTATTATAAGTAACACTGCTATGAACATTTGTGTGCAAGACTTTTTGTGAATGTATGATTTCACTTCTCTTGGGTATATAGTGAGGAGTAGAATCACTGGGTCATATGGTAACTCCATGTTTAACAATTTCAGGAACTGCCAGGCTGTTTTCCAAAGCAACTGTATAATTTTACATTTCCCACCAGTAACGTATAGGGTTCCAATTTCTTCACATCCTTGAAAATACTTATTATCTACGTTTTTGGTCGTGGCCATTGTTGAAAAACTTCAGCCAAATCAAATTTAAAGAGTTTAGTAGAGCAATGAAAGATTTGCAAATTGGGCAACCTCCAGAATCACAGCAGATTCAAAGACTCCAGGGGTGTCTTGTGGTCAGAACAAATTTATAGACAAAAAAAAAGTAAAGTATCCTACAGGAATTGGAAGTGACGTACAGAAACAGTAGGATTGGTTACAGCTCTGTGTTTGCCTTATTTGAACACAGTTTGAACACTCAGCAGTCTATGAGTGGTTGAAGTATAGCTGCTGGGATTGTCCAACACTCAGCTATTGGTAGAGACACATACTCCTAAGTTAGGTTTTCAATCTTGTCTACCTATTAAGTTAGGTTGCAGTTTATCCACAAGGACTCAAATACAGAAGTACGAAGTTCTTTTCAGGCCATATTTAGTTTGCTTTAACACCATGCTCGTGGATGTGAAGTGGTATCTCTTTATTGTAAAACACCTACTTTTAAATGGACTGATAAAATGATAGAATAATAGGGCTGGACAGGTTATTTATTCACAGGTATTATGTGTAGTATTCCATTATATAAATATAGCACAATTTATTTTTCCATTCTCCTTTCTAGGTATATTTGTGATGTTTCTATATAGGGGCTTTTTATCAATAAGGCTGCTGTAAGAATTCATATACAAGTTTTACAAGTTTTTTAAGGCATGTTTTCATTTTCCTTGAGCAGACATCTAGGTGGGGAAGTGTTTGGACATACAGTAGGTTCATGCTAACTTTTTAAGAAACTCTCAAATTGTTTCTCCAAAGCAGTTGCACTATTTAATAGTCTCCTCAGCAGCGCATGATCTTGCCAGTTGTTTCATACCCTTGGCAACATTTGGTATTAATATTCATTGAAACTTTAATCATTTTAGGGGTAAAGGTGTTAATAGTATCTCATTGTGGTTTTGATTTCCACTTCCTTGGTGTTAAGGGTGTTAAGCATCTTTTCCATGTTTATTGGTCATACTGTGTCTTCTTTTGTTAAGTTTCTGTTCAAATCTTTAGCCCATTTTTTAAAAATGGCTGTATGACTTATTATTGGCTGTCAGATTTCTTTCTTTATATGTCCAAGATACAAGTCCTTTGTGCATATACATGTATGGCAAATATTTTTACTTTTGTGAATTTGTCTTTTCATTATCTTTTGTTGTTGCTGAGGTGGGGGGGGGTCTCACTTTGTTGACCAGTGGCATGATCACAGATCACTATAGCCTCGCCCTCCTGGACTCTAGTTATCTTCCCAACTCAGACTCCTGAGTAGCTAGAAACACAGGTGTGTACCATCACACCTGGCTAATTTTTTTATTTGTACAGACAAAACCTCACTATTACCCAGGCTGGTCTTCAACTTCTGGGCTCAAGACATCCTCCCACTTTGGCCTCCCAAAGTGCTGGGATTACAGGCACGAGCCACCGTGTCCAGCCCTTTTCATTTTCTTAATGGTGTCTTTCTAAGAGTAGAAGTTTCAAAGTTTGAAGTCTAATATATCAATATTTTTCACTTATGGTTAGTAAAGTCTGTGTACCAAGAAATTTTTGCTAACCCAACATAATGAAGGTATCCTCCTATAGTTTCTTCTGGAAGCTTTACAGTTTTAACTTTTGCATTTAGATCTATGATCCATTTCAGATGAATTTTTGTGTTTGTTGTGAGGTGGAGATACAGTTCATTGTTTCCTCATAGATACCCAGTTGTGTCAGCACCATTTGTTGATAAGACTTTCCTTTCTTCATTGAATCGCCTTGACAACTTTGTCAAATTGACAAAATATGATCAATTTCTGAACCCTATTCTGTTCCATTGGTCTATTTATTTTTACCAATACTACAGTTTCTTGAAAAGCATAGTTTTATCATAAATCTTAATATCAGGTAGGTTAAGCCCTACAAATTTATTCTTCTTCTATATTTATTCTTCTTCTATGAGATTGCTTTGGCTACTAGATCCTTTGCATTTTCACATAAATTTTAGAACTATCTTGTCAATTACTGGAAAAAGTACTCAGTGAAATTTTTAAAGAACAAGATTGAATCTATACATCATTTGGGGGGTAAGTTGATACTAATAATATTGTGTTTTCTAAACCATAAACAGGATATCATTCTATTTATTATTAATTTCTCAGCAAGTGTACTGTAGTTTTACACATTTTTTCATAAGATTAATTAGCAAGTATTTTATGTCATTGAGAGTTAATGAATAAAGTTTTGTTTTATTCATTTTACTTCCCAGTTGTTCATTGCTACTAGATAGAAACTAAATAACATGTAACTGATTTTTGTATTTTGACCTTTTACCCTATGAGCTTACTAAATTCACTTACTGGTTCTACTAGTCTTTTCATATTCCTTAAGATTTTCTACATAAACAATTATGCTATCTGTGAATAATGACAGTTTTCTTTACAATCTTTATGCCATATATATATATTCCCATCTTATAACATTGATTAGGACCTCCAAAAAAATGATGCATCAAGGGGGTGACATCAGACATCTTTGCCTTGTTCCCAATCTCAGGGGGCATTCAACATTTGATCAGTAAGGTACAATATGTTGTTAGCTATAAGGTTGATTTTTTTTTATATGCCCTTTATCAAGTTGAAGAATTTTTCTTCTACTTTTTTTTTTTTTTTTTTTTTTTTTGAGACAGAGTCTGGCTGTGTCATGAGGC